GAGCAGGAAGGCTGACGTTTCGGGCCTAGACCCTTCAGCCTTCCTGCTCCTATGATGCTGCTTGGCCTGCTGTGTTCATCCAGCTCTACACCTTGTTATCTCAGATTCTCCAGCATCTGCAGTTCCTACTATCTCAATACAAACCTGACCTCTTCTGGTCTATTTAGCTCATTACCACGATCACCCAATGCATTGAAAGACCTTCTGAGGACGGAAACAAATTCCACAAATGGTATGGACCTAGACAGGCCTGAAAATTGTTTTTTATAGTAATTTTGTTTGGTTCATTATTAATTTTATTTTGCACTTCAAAACAGTATTTTTAAAATTTCTTTGCTGTGGCATTTTCAGTCCCACTCATGTTACCTCTATTTCTAGTGCCTCATTATCTAGTAATCTAAATTAGGACATGCATTTTATTTCCACAGACCTTAGTTGCATCATTAATTTATGGTTATGCTTTGGTGACAACATTTACCAGTCCAAATTTCTGTAGTAACTTCTCCTATTCAATTTTACTGTGTCAACTATCACAATGAGGATGAAGGTCATGACCACTAAGTTGCACTGTATAAAGAATTGCTGGACTGGAGTCTCAAAACTCTATTGGTAACTTATTTATATGGAAAGAAAATTTCATTAATTGATTACAGCTAATGGCACATGCGATTTACTAGCATAAGTTAGTATTTAGATGCTTTTGTATTATTTCAAATATGTATAGTATCGCATAAGTTAATGTGTCTGTATACAATGGTACATTGTAGCGGTATTCCTTATTACTGAGTCAGTTGTGATTTTTATACTTATGATGTAGAGATTTATCCAGCAGTTAAAAGAAAATTAGTTTTGTAACGTGCCTTATTTTGATTTGCATGAGTTACATGTATTAAGCAATTTCATAAAGTAGAACTTATTTATCTGATTTGATTTATATCCAAAAATTAAAGTATAATTTTAAAATTATTTTGTTTGGACCAATACAGCAGTCATCTTGTAATTATCTGACAAATTTCAAAATCCATTGCCTGCTTCCTCTTTGCTGTGATTACAGTAATTACTTTGCAGCACCATGGCTGACAATATAACATAAAAGAAAAGCATTTATTTATTGAAACACAAACTCAACAATGAAATTCTTTGCTTCTTTGTGATCTCTGTATTCCCTGATGGCTCAGTGTGTTTGCTCATTGATGGCTACAAACAAGGAATATATGGTATCAGGTTCCACTCCTAATCTGTGCAACTAACTTATCATAGCTGACCGTTAGAATTCGCCCCAGCATAGTCACAATAGGAAAAGAAAAGAAATCAGCCAGAGTTTCCCCTCTTGATTACTACCAAGATTCTGTAAAATGGTTGACTGTGACCATCTTTCTCCAACGCTTCTCCTCCATTGTCCAGCTGAGGGCAATGCCTTGCCGGTACCACCCTTATCTATCTAATCTTGGCCAGACAATCTCCATTAATATATCCCGATGTGCACCTTCACCATTCTCTCTGAAGACTCCAAAGGATGGATCCTTGGCTCCCATTTCTCCTTTCTAGACCACCACTTAGTGATAGCATCCAAAGCATGATGTCAGCTCCCACATCTACACTGTCTACACCCAGGTCATCTCACCACAATCTTTCTTCATCTGTCGATTGTCGCTGTGTACTCTGGTTACTTGACTGTTATCTAGACCTGGGTGAGTCAACATTTCCTGTAGATAAGTATTGGCAACATCAGAGCAATTGGTCTTTGGCTCCTGTCACAAACCATTTCCTCTTCCTTCTCCTTCCAAGACAATGTTTGAAGCTACTTGTAACTTTGCTATCCTAACTAACATGGAGGTAAGTTTCCAATCCTATATCCTCTGAATTAGTAATATCACCTTCTTCCACTCCGTAAAATCATGCCACTCTGCCTTTGCCTCTGCCTGTCTGCTGTTGGACCCATCAATAATTTTGTTAACTCCAAAATCGATTATTCCAATCCTCAATCTGTCATCTTCTACCCAACATAAATGTGAGCTTATTCAAAACCCTGATGCTCATAACCTAACTTGCACCAAGTCCTGTTTACTTATCACCCTGTGCTCTCTAAATAGCAATGCAAGTCCATGATTTGAAAATTCTCGTCCTCAAATTTCTTCATTGCCTCACCTTTTCTCTGTAACTTCCTCCAGACCTACAAACCTCTGAGCAATTTGCTTTCCTTCAATTCCGACCTTTAGCGTGCATGTTCAAATTCATGTGGTCCACCATTGGGGGTCGTGTCTTCAACCATCCAGTCTCTGGACTTACCTCTTTCTCTGGACTTATCTCTTTCTCACCGTCTGTCTTTCTCTTCTTTTAGAGGAAAAATTTAAAGATGTGCGAGGCAAGTTTTTTTTTACACAGAGGATGGTAGGTGCCTGGAACACACTGCCATGGGAGGATGTAAAAGCAGATGTATTAGCAAAGTTTAGACAGACACATGAACAGGCAGGGAGTAGAGGGATAGGGACCATATGCAGGCTGATGGGAGTAGTTTAGAATGGCATGATGGTCAGCACAGACATAGTGGGCCAAAGGGCCTGTTCCTGTTTCGCAATGTTCTGTGTTAATTAATTTTTTTGTCATTGACCAGACTTTAGGTCATCAGTCCTCCTTTGGCTTTGTGTTAGTTTTTTTTGTCTGCTTTCGATCATGAGTCCTTTGGGAGATTTTACTATGTTAAATGTACTATATAAATGCAAATTATTGTTGTAATAAGCATCTTCCTGCTGCAGGAAGATGCTTGTGTGATGACATCAGGCAAGGACAGGCTCATCAAATACCTTCTATGTTTTTCTAGAGTTTTGTCAGTCTAATCGAAATTTATTTTTTTTTCTGATGTAGTTTTAAACATTTATATAACTTCCTTATCTGACCCAGATATGTCTTTTACAGCTGGGATCTGACCAGGCTATATCTGACTGGCATCTAAACTGCTATGTTTGACCCTCATCTTAAAATAATTTAGATATTGTTTCTCTTTTTTTTGCTAGATTCCTCTGTCTTCCTTTAAAGTATTCATCTGAATCATTGCCTTTCCCTGTCAACTAAGCCAAGATGAAGTTTGTGCTTTGAGTGTTAAAGAACTCTGCATCGTGTTAAAAGTGACCACATTCCTTTGAGGGGAACCTGTTGCTCCTGATACCAGCTTATATCTAGAAAGAAACAGCCCCTTGTATTTCTTGAACTGAGCTGTATGTCTTTTTTTTTGTAAGATTGCCTGAATCAATAAAATTGAAGGTGTTTTTGGCCTTGTGTGGTTTATTTTTTGACTTACAATAAACCCTGAAATTGAAGATTGACACACACACAATGGAGAAATACAGCTTTTCATCAGAAATGACTGTGTTTAGAGTAATGTTTAATTGTTGCGTCTCATAGTTTTCATTATATGGATGGACTTTTGAAGATAGCAGATTTTGGATTTCAGTGTGGATTTGCAACTTGCGTGGGATGCAGAAGTTCAGGTGACTTAATGAAAGGGTACACACGTTTCAATGGTATTTTCTTTTTAATTAACACTCTTTTCTACCCCCTTTCCACTCATGAGAATGCTGCCTTTCACTGAGTTACAGTTACCCAGTGCTTACTGTAGCTGGGGTAGAATTTCCAGTGGGGCCAATATTCCTTAGGGTACAGTTCCCAAGATGCCAGGAGCTCACTCTGGTATCTAGTTTCTTGTGACAGTGATGGTTTGGGCCATTGAATTACGGAGAACCTTCTGGCCAAGGTCAATTCTGTTCCTGCCTCACATCCCCATGCATACTTTACAGCAGAAATTACCAGACATTGGTCATAAGCACATGTACAGAATGATTTCCCTACCTATCTCAGCAGCATGGAAATTAAATGTGGCACAACTGATTCCTTTTGTTCGGTCTTAGCTGAAAAAAGTTTAGTACCGCTGGGAGTGCAAGGAGCAACTTTGGCAATCCTGATCTGTTCTTAATTTCTGCACTGAATGGGATAGAAATGCTTATTAATTTTATTTAATTTAAGTTTATTAATTTACTGTGATCACCAAAAGTAAGTCATTAATGAGAGTGGTTGAATTGCAGCAGAATGTGGAGCATGAATGTAATCTCAGAACCTGCACTGACACTAATACTCATTGAAAAATAAAATTGCTGAAAATGAGTGGAAAACATACTCGAGCCCAGCAATTATTACAACTGCCTCACACGGAGTAAAAATTTGTGAAGTTGTATTCTACTGGAGCTTTTGATTGGACAAAGTTAACCTAACAGTGGAATCACTTGCACGGTTGCATTTAGAGCATTAGAATTTGTTTTCTTAAAATTAGATGCAGTGCATTCCTATAGCTATCAAGTTCTACTTTAAAACAGCGTACAAGTCTTATCGTTCCTGAACTAATCTGCTTGCAAATTTACATTGCACAAGCCTAATGAAACCTCCTTTACCCTCAATCCGCAGTGTCTCTTGCATGACCAGCAGCTTGATGGCTGTGAATGGGAGTACATAAATCACATTAAATCTGATTCTATGGAGTTAGAAACTTGTGGGATGTGTGCACAACTCTCCAACCAGAGTAAAACCTGGAGAGACAGAAATGTCACATGGACTAGATAGTTTATCAAGTTCAAATGGATGGGTGTGGTGTTGGGCATGGATGAAGAAAATAACCAGATAGATGAGGAATGGAGATAATTTGCAGTTGAGATAGAGATTGGTAGTAAAGGGGAGGGTAGACACTGGGATTATGGTTGCAGTTCTGAAGTTTTTTTGGCAAATGGATGTAAACTCACTGAAGCCTTAATAAAATGGTGTCTGTACAATAAAATGAATGGATGCCTGTTTTTAAAGTGTTGTTGTTTCTGTATTGGGTACATGTGAAAAAATTTCTGTCTGGTAACTATGGGCAAGAATATTTCACATACAAGTTTTGCTTTGTAATAGTTTTAATTAAATTTAATTTAAATGATCACTGCTCCTGGAGGTTACCATTGACCAGAAACTCATCTGGATTCACCACATGAACATGAGACTACAAGAACAGGTCAGAAGCCAGGAATATTGTGGCGAGTAATTCACTCCTGACTCCTCAAAGCCTGTCCACCAATCTACAAGGCACAAGTCAGGAGTGTGATGGAATACTCTCCACTGTCTGGATGAGTGCAGCCCCGACAACACTCGAAGCTTGACACTATCCAGGACAAAGCAGCCCACTTGATTAGCACTGCACCCACAAGCATCCACTCCCTCCACCACCAATGCTCAGCAGCAGCAGTGTGTACTATCTACAAGATGCACTGCAGAAATTCACCAAAGATCCTCAGACAGCACCTTCCAAATACACAACCACTTCCATCTAAAAGGACAAGGCCAGCAGATATATAGGAACACCACCACCTTCAAGGTTTTCCTCCAAGCCACTCACTATCCTGATGGGAAATATATTGCTGTTACTTCACTCTTGCTGGATCAAAATGCTGGAATTCCCTCCCTAACAGCATTGTGGGTCAACCCATAGCAGTTCAACTGCAGCGGTTGAAGGCGGCAGTTCAGCACCATCTTCTAAAGGGCAACTAGGGACAGGCAATAAATGCTGGACCAGCCAGTGATGCCCATGTCCCATAAATGAATTTTAAAAGTTATGATTTTACATCATATCTTGCCTCCCCACTTAAAACGTTAAAGTATTTTCATAAATTAAAGCCAGAACATAGGAGTATTTGAATTAGATTATTTATATGAAAATCCATACTTGCACCAGGGAGAGTCATTCAGCATGGAAACAGACCCATCGGTCCAACTTGTCCATGCTGACCAGATAGCCTGAATTAATCTAGTCCTATTTGCCAGCATTTGGCCCATATCTCTAAACCCTTCCTATTCACATAGGCATCTAGATGCCTTTTAAAGGTTGTAATTGTAGTAGCCTCCAACACTTGCTCTTGCAGCTCATTCCATACATGTACCACCCACTACATGAAAATGTTGCCCTTTAGGCCTCTTAAATCCTTCTCCTCTCACCTTAAACCTGTGCCCTCTACATTTGGACTCCCCCCCCAGTCCAGGGAAATGACCTTGTCTATTTACTCTATCCATGCCCTTTATGATTTTATAAACTTCTGTAAGGTCCCCCCTCAGCCTCCAACACTCCAGGGAAAATAGTCCCAGCCTATTCAGCCTCTCCCTTTAGCTCAAACCTTAAAACCCTGGCAACATCCTTGTAAATCTTTTTTGAACCCTTTCAAGTTTCACAACATCCTTCCTGTAGCAGGGAGACCAGAATTGCATGCAGTATTCCAACAGTGGCCTAACCAATATCCTGTGTAGCTGCAACATGACCTCAAACCTCTAACCTCTATACACAATACACCGATTAACAGAGGCAAGCATACCAAACACTTTCTTCACCATCCTATCCACCTGGGGGACTCCACTGCCAAGGAAATATGAACCTGTATTCCAAGGCTTCTTTGTTCAACAACACTCCCTAGACCTTACCATTAAGTGTTTATGACATCCTATCTGGTGTCCTGGAAGGACACAGTGTTTTGCAAAGCAATTGTTGCTGCCTTCAAGTAAATACTAGAGCTGTTCAAAGTGGATACTGCCAAGAAAGCCTCACTCTAAACAGGATCTGTTCACCATACCACTACCGCTGTTTGAAGCCAGTTCCCTAAACCTGCCTATTTAACTTGGTGGAACTGATCTAATGTATTTTTACTGTAAAGTACTGGGGCTATCTAAGCAGTTAGACTTTCACTTTCAGAACTTACTTATTACAAGTGGTCTCAGAACTTCATTGAACTCAAATCAGGGCAGAAAGACATTGAGAGCCATGGACAACAGCATCACAGCTATTGGTTGAGTGGGAGGTTGGAGAGTTACATGGGTGGCATGGTGGCTCAGTGGTTAGCACTGCTGCCTCACAGCACCAGCAACCCAGGTTTGATCCCAGCTTCAGGTGACTGTCTGTGTGGGTTTCCTCCGGGTGCTCTGGTTTCCTCCCACAGTCCAAAGATGTCAGGGTAGGTGGCTTGGCTATGCTAAATTACCCATTGTGCCCAGGGATGTTTAGTTTAGGTGGGTTAGACTTGGGAAATGCAAGGGTAAGGGAATGGGTCTGGGTGTGATGCTCTTCAGAAGGGCGGTGTGGACTTGTTGGGCCGAATACTGTTTCCAGCAGCCCTCAAAACTCATTAGTGCAGAAAGTTGTGGAGGCCGTCATTGAATGTGCTTATTTCAGAGATAGATAGGTTCTCGATTAGTAAGGTATTAACAGTTACAGAGAGAAGGCAGGAGAATGGCATTGAGAAGCATATCAACCATTATTAAATGGTGAAACAGACTTGATGAGCTGAATGGCCTAAGTCTGCTCCTATAATCTTATGGATAGGCACTTAAGGGAAATAAATATGCAAGGTTCTGGGAATCAAGCAAGGGAATGTGACTGACAAATGCTCTGAGTTAACATGGCCTCAGTGGGTCAATTGGCCCCCTCCTGCAATGTAGTGACATTACCATGACTTAGTGTTGGTAACATTGGAAAGAAGGAATTTCAGGGGCAGAGACTTGGTACTGAAAGAATAGACACATTTTGATAATTACACAAGCTAACTTATGAACAGCAGTAATACATAAAAAAGTGTAAAAGGTAAAGTTGACCATAGTCCTACTGGACCATAGGGCTGCTCCCTCATTAATGAGAGAAGAATGGTGGTGGTTGAATAGAAAGGGTCACCACACCTCAAGCAAGGAGAAAGAGGTTCGGAATCAATCTTAGGCAGTATGGGAAATTGAGCCCCTGCTATTGGCATCCTTCTGCATTGCAAACTAGCCTTTCAGCCAATCTATATGTCTGACCCCTCCCCCTCAGTGATGTAACAGATAGTAACCAAACAAATTTTAAGAGAACAGATTTTTCATTACAGCCAAATGAGCATGAAAAATATTCAAGAGTTCTTTGCGCATATGTAGGTTCTAGCAAATATTCAGTAAACCATAGCCAGGCAACTCTATTATTATGGGTACCTCAAGAAAATAGGTCTGAGAATACCTCAACTGGAAGAGAGACTGAGCCCAATGCTGTTGCCATTAATTTGACTCTGTTAGCCATCTAGTCAACTGAGCCCTAAAATAAAACTACAGCAAAAATAAAGAAGTTTATTTTTCTCTTAAAAAAGAGAGATGAGTTCATGCTATTAAAAGGCTTGTACAACCAGATCAATTATTTGGCAATATGGTGTTGTGACAAGACACAAGGGCTCCTGTAATTGTCCAG